GACCCTTACACTTTGCCAACGGACCTTATCTTTAGATGGAGAGCCTTTCTGAAGGAGAATTGAAACAGGGTTCTTGCTCCGAAGGATGCTTTTGGCCAAGTGTGTAGACAAGCCAGTGTTTGAAGGCAGGGAAGCCAGTTAGGTGCTTCTAGCTGTTCTGAGGGGACAGGGATAGACTGGCACTCACCCCGAAGCACCTGCCTAGAACCAGCTCACCTGGGCGTTGACGAGGTACTGGGCAGTGATCCGAGTTCAGCAGAAATCCACCCTTTGACACAATGTTCCCAGTTCTACTCCAAGCCAGAGTCTAAAGACGGCAGCATTGTGGCTTTCCCTGTATTTACCGTCCAAGCTTCATTCCCACCTTCCCGAGGAGCCCTCGGTCTGTAGCCAAGGCTCTACCTCGTTGCAGGCTGGCTTTCCTCATTCCGGTCCCTCAGGTTACGCTCCTGGATATATATATCCTGGAGATTATATATATATATATATATACACACACACACACACACATATACATATATATACACACTTTGTTTGTTTTTTCTTAACACACTGCCCTGTCATGTTTTGAAGAAATGGTGAACAATGCCTCCTTTGTTGACCTGCAACCTGGGCCAGTGGGGTAGGAATTTTCTTAGTTGAAACAGATGGAAAAGTAGTGATGACAGAAAATTGTCTCTTGCATTTGAAAAGGCGGGGGAGGGGTGGGGAGAAGTGGGTTTTCCTGTGTGTGAGAAATCCTCCTGGTAATTAGCCTGTGAAGCAACCCCCCCCTCCTTCTACATACCCCCAAATAAATTTTGCAAGCTTCTTAAAATGTTCCTCCTCAAGGACTGACTTTAACAAACAACAACAAAAAAACTGCACAAATGCTCTGACCCAGATTCTCCCAAAGAGCTAAACCTTTCCCAGGAAAGCACGTTAACCCTTTCCACGCTCCCCCACATCTAGTAGAGCGGGTAGTTTCTTCCACCAAGCTCTGCGATGACTTTGACTACTGTCTGCTTAATTAGCCAGCCCCATATGGTAGTTTAGGAGCCATGACTAGCTCGGCCCCCTGGAGGTGCGTGGAGAATGCTTGTTGAATGTATTTCAGCCAGGGGCTCACTAAAGCAGCTTCATAGATCAAATAGTTAATTAGCAACTTCTCCGTTGCCACCTGAGGCGTACTTAGATGGAAAAAATGAGTAAATAACTTTTTAAAAAAAGAGTTAGTTTTAGGTAGAGTGACAGAGAGGTCCTGTAACCAAACAAGACTCATATTGGTGTCTGTCTGAGCCAGGGAAAAAAGATATATGAAATCTCCAGCCTAGAAACAGGTTTCCTGCAAAGGTGTTGACGGCATCTTATTCCGGTGTCCTTCCACCGGGCAGTGCACACAGGTCCAAGCTAACATTTTCCCCACCCACCCTCCAGTGGAGAAGTAAGCCTAGGGAAAGACTTAGGAGATTGGAACTCTCCTGAAGGGTCTGCAGGAGTCGGAAGGGACTCGTAGCAGTGGGCTTTTAGACAGAAACTGTCTTTCTTTTTCTGTCATCCTACTCCCAAAGCAGAGAGAGAATGGAACCCTGCCTCGGCTTTGATCCCACCGTGAGAGCCGCACACACTACAAAGCTATAGCATGCCCAGTAAATACAGCCGGGGTTCCTGGTCCCCCCCAACCCCCCTCACCCCCACCACACACACCCCACCAATGAAGGGTGATTTTCCTCATCTTATTGCATCACCTGTTTGCTTTTGAACCATAAAACAAATGGCTGCATTTCTGGTGAGACTCCCCTTTGTCCCCAAGGCATATGAATGATTTGTGGGTTTGATTTAAAGCTACAGCAAGGAGAGAGCAAGAGGAGAGGGGGGGGGGAAGGTATTTTGCCTGAGGACTCAGAAGTTCCCCTCCACCCCCACCCCCTTTTCCTCCGCTTGACTGACTTTCTCACACTCAGATTGCCTGTGGCCTGCCAGAGCCCGGTAGCTGCCCTGCCAAGAGCAGTCCTGGGAGGGCTATTGAAAGACTTGGAGGGAGCACACACAGGGTGGATTTTCTCCGCCTCCCCTCTGTACCTGCTCTGCACCTGTACAGGGAGCAGTCCCACACATATCACCTGATCGCTGCCCTTTCAGAGACCGTGAGAAAATAAAGTCCAAGGTCGAAGAGGCATGTTTGTCAGTGTCTGCAGGGCTGCAGCCAGCTCCCAGTGGGCGGGCCACGGGCCCAGAAACAGCACATGCCAGGTCGGTGCGTGCGCGTGCCGGGTGGGAAGCCAGGTCTACCTTTCCAATGACCGCCTCTGCTTCTGGCATCTGCCTACTGGTACCTTCTTGGTCCTTTGCTACACGCATGGCCTTCTGGGTAAGAGTTGGTACAGCTCATCCCAGTGCAACTCCTAGCTGGGGTATCTTCACAAACCTGTCGTTCAGTAACTGCCGCACATGGTTTTCTGGACTGTAATCTTTACAGAAGCAGATTGACAGGCCTTTCTTCCGCCATGCTGCTAGGAGGGTTTGACCTGTCAGTCTTTTGGTGAATAGTTTAGCACAAACATTTTGTACCACCTAGAGAGCTGATAAAGCCCCTGAAACTTAATTCAAAATTGTGCACCTGCATGCACGTTCTGCAGGGGCTGAATACATATTTTTCGAGTGAATGAACAAATGCATTTTATTTCTTTGTCCCAAGAGGAGAGAGGAGACTCGTAGCTTTTATCGGAATCTCAAAGCCAAAAAAGTTGGAGGAATGCTGGTCAGACCATCTCGTACAGAATGGGTACTGTAAGCCCCACAGAGGGGATGGGACTTACTCAAAGATCCACAGCAACACAAGGCTGAGCCAGGACCAGAGGCTGACCCAAACTGCCTGCTCTTGGTTCCTGGGTGAATTCAGGGTGAGGACGATAAGATTCATCGGTGCCAACCAATCCTGGATTGAAATAGACATATTGATAAGAAAATTAAGACTTTTATAACTTTAAAAAATACTCAGAGGCATTTGAGCGACTCGGCACCCAGTTTTTGGATGGGGAAGGAGCTTGCCAAGAGGAGACAGGAATCCCGGGAACCCGGTTGCCCCCAAAGCCACTAGAGACAGCTGCAATTCTGCATTCCATATTTGATTTTTTTAAAGGCGTGCGGGGAGTTGCTACTAATGAACAGAACACCTCGTTGGTCCCTGGCCAAGCTGGGACTGGGAACTGTAAACTGTAAATGTTTTCTGTCAGGATGGAAAACAAGCTTTCAGCGTTGACTTAAAACGTGTCCGCAGTACTTTCGGCCACATGTCCCCACCAGCTCCCCCGCCCTGCGGAACACTTGACTGGAGCCAGTGACACTAGGGAATGCGCGCTTTCCTCATGGGCTCTGAGAGAGAACAAGAAAGCCTTCCCCGTGGGGTGGGGGCAGGGTGCCCTGGAAAGACTTAGCTCACCCATTGGGCCTGGCCAGGGCTGCAGGGAAGGCTCTCAGAGAGTGTTTACCAAGCGAACCTGGGAGCAGGCCGGCAGAGTGGGGTAAACCTGCGAGCCCCAGGAAAGCGTGTCAGGTCACAGCTTGCACCCCTGTGCTGCGAAACCTCAGAGAGGCTCCAGGGCAGATGAAGCATGTGGGGGCAGGCCCTGAGGCGGCAAGAAGGCTCAGGAATGTGGGGCAGAGTCTAGCCTTTCAGATCCAGGCCATGCATTTGTTTGGCTTGCTAATTGCTGCTCAAATTTGACCAAATCAGACCAAGTTTCTCCAAAAAAATTTTTGTTTTAAAGGAATAAAAACAAACCCTTAGCTAGTCAGGAAAAAACAAACACATACATACATACACACATACATACATACATACATATATATATATGAGTAAAATGTAAGAATATGGGATAAATGCATAAAACTGAGTATATGTGCACACGTATGTTCACATGCATGTGCACAGGCACACATATGCCGGAAATGTGCACCCCAAAACATTTGCCAACGCGATGGCCCCACATTATAGATTCAGCAGCGTTGATTACATTTTCCATGTGCCATCCTGACTGGTGGGGCAGTAGTAGTGAAAAGCCTTTGGTCAGCTGTTTGAACCCACCGGCCACTCCATGGGAGGAAACAGGCCACACAGAATCAACTGCCTGCCTCTTGGTCAACCAAACCAAATTAAACCAAGCCTCATGCCACCCCTTATTGGCCACCGTTTTGAATGGTTTCCCTTATTTCTGCTGTACATGGCAATCTACAGGAGAAAATGATGCAGTTTCTGGAACTGCGCGCCATTGATAAGCTTTCGTTTTAGGACCAGAGAAAGCTTGACATTTGGGATTCAGTGAAGCTGTCCAACTGCTGGTCAACCTCACATTTTTTTTTTTTTTTTCCGCGCAAGCTCCGTTTTATTAAGTGGGATTTTGCAGTGGAACTGGGGCACTTAAAAAACTTGACTGCCTGGGCCCGGGGCGGCTCCCTGGCCCCTCCCCGCCAAGATCTCTGAGACAACAGCTGGGTATCAAATGACTTTAGACTTTATC